TCTAGAGGACAGATGCACTATTCAACCATTCACTCCGAGTGACTGGATGAGGGGAGGAAAGGGAACTGGGCATTGTGGAACTAGCCTAGGTTGGTCTTGTCTTGAGGCTTGAGGTCTTGAGCAGACGTCTGAACGACGATTGGTTCAATGACCTTCGTCAGCAATATTTTCGTGCGGAAGCCTTGTTGGCCTTCTTGTCATTTGATAGTAGATCTAGATCTAGTATCTGTGGCCTACTTCAGTTCTCGGCGCTCTAAAAAAATCCATACTCTATATTGTGTATTGTACTTATGCAACATCAATATATATATATATATATATATTTAACTGTCGAAATTGCCCAAGACGGACACATATTGTCTTTAGAGAAAAGGTGGACGTGTTGGACAGCGTCATTTTAATTATAATCGACCCCCCACCCCCACCCCCGGCAATTTAAAGGAGGAAAAGGTTGTTTGAGCAATTGTACAAAGAGTGATTGTATTGGACAGATGGCCGTTGAAGCATGTTCGACAGTAATATATAATTTTTTTAAAGTGTATTTTCATGTCGACGTTCTTACATCGATACAATTTAGATCATTTATGAGACGGGCTCCCAACCCTGCCTGTCAGGGTTAACCCGGGCTGAGAGGGATAAAATATCCCAGCAGACAGACCAAGACCAGGATGCACGTACATGTATAATCGATAAATATTTCTCCCCACTTGGGAATCGGACTCAGGTCTCCTGCATACGATAGTGAGGTACCTATCTGCTACACCACAGATCATTTTTTTTAAAGACAAGGAAGTAAGTTGATCCTTTTATATCATTCTCAGTTCTCAAGTTAATTGCGGCCAACTCCTGAAATAATCAAAATTGTGTCGTCTGTTGGGGCGTCCTGTACAACCAGCTTTAGAACGTCACCACAAATTCTACGGACACATGAGAAAAGATAAAATTAATAGTTGAACTTGACCAAAGCAGCCACCCATTGTCGATGAAAAAAGTACTTCAGCTTGTCTTAAAATGTGAACTTCGGGTTCGACTTTATTTCTGATCTAGTACTCCACGCAGCACTGTTGCTCAAGATTACACCGAGTATCATGTACACTGTATAATATTTAGAATGTGTAACCTTACTGCACTGAAATGAATTGATATCAGTAATCTGGTCACCTTGACACTACTACTACTAGGCCGATTAACTGTCTGTCTGTCTGTTTGTCTGTTTGTCTGTCTGTCTGTCTGTCTGTCTGTCTGTCTGTCTGTCTGTCTGTCTGTCTGT